AAAACATTGTACAAAAAATTTTAGGTGTCCATCTGTTAATAGAGGTAATACTATTTTTGTAAAATCTAACTTAAGATAAAATGTTCGATGGTACTGCAGCAGGGGTGCTACTTGAACTACTTAGCTATGATGATGGTCTGACTTGGAGTGAATATGTATCAAAATCATTTGGAAAAAAGACATTATTACTACACAGTGTTGGCACATATCAGCACCCCCCAGACACAAATACCTAGCTAATGTGCATAATACTTCACACAGGACAAATTACCAATGTCCTCCCCTTACCCTAATAAATTAAATGTATCCTTCCATAAGTCAGAATGATGCCTCAGACCCTACAACTTCCAAAAATATAACATATACTATACCTGTGTAAACTGGTCGCAGTCAACAAGGCGAAAAGTTTTGCCATAAATTGTGATATCTATTCCTCGATTTAGGTCTTTCCAATGGTAATGGTCTCCCCGGTCATTCTTGGCTAGCCGTTGGCGTTTGATTAATTTGCCTTGAGGGATCCCAGAGTTTTCCACAACAGGCTCTATGACAGACATGCTGTCATCTTCTAGATAATAGTAAATGTTCACCTGACGGATCCTATAAAACTCCTCAGTTGATATAGGAACATCTTCTTGAAAATAGGCTTTAAATTTTAGCACCTGTAACACACAAGAAAAGGAGAAATGGTGTAGGATCAGTTTGCCATTGTCAGCTAAAAAATTTCAAGTACACTTCCGAAAAGAGAACCACACAGGGAAATTTGAATACTTAACCACTTCTATTCTCTAAATCATGGTGTCTCTGCCACACATTGGAAGAATGAGGATTGATTGCCTTAGGCCACACATTAAATACACAAACACTAAGACAGCTGATTAGCAATTTTTTTTGCATAGTCTGTGATATCTAATACCATAGATAAACAAAACAAGTCCTCACAAAATTAGCAAGTTGGACACACCAATTCTAAATCAAGAGTTTGCAGACTACAGTCCACAGGACAAATTTGACCTGCCAAATGTTTCTTTTATGAACTCCAAGCTAAGAATATTTTTTACATATTTAAACAGGTTAAAAAAATGAAAGAATAGTATTTCATAACACATGGAAATTACATAAAATTTAAATTTCAGTATCTATAGATAATTACATAAATGAACACTTATTTGTCAATGGCTAATCTTCTATTACAAGGGCAGAGTTGAGTAGTTGTGATAACAATATATGGACTATTACTATGGACTGAATTGTGTCTCCACATACCAATTCATACCTTGAAGCCCCTAACCCCTAAAGTGACTGTATTTGGGAGATACGACTTGTTAGGAGGTAATTAAGGTTAAATGAAGACTTAAGGCTAGGGCCCTAGTCCAATAGAACTGGTGCCACCTAGGAAGAGAAAGAGAAATAGTCCCTTCTATCAAGCCTCTCCCACAACACCCAGGAAAAACCTCATGAGAACATAGCAAGGTCACCAGCTAGGAGCCAGGAAGAGAGCCCTCACCGGAAACCAAATAAACTGGAACCTTCATCTTGTGCTTCTAGCCTCCAGAACCATGAGAAAATAAATTTCTATTATTTAAGCCACTCAGTCTGTATTTTGTTATGATAGCCCAAACAAACTAAAAACACTAAAACAAACAAAATATATACTACTGGATCTTTACAGAAAAAGCTTGTTGACATCTGCTTTAAATACTCACAATGTCTATAGACTATTTACTGTGTGTTCCTTGGTGAGACAGCTTAAAGACCTTAACTCTACGAGCTTCAGCTCCATGAGAGAAGTCCCTCCCAGAACTTCCGGATAGAGTAAAAAACTTTAGAAAAGACTTATTTTTGGTTTTCAAATGGATGCAAAGACTCAACTTCACTTCTTTAGAAGTGGAATCCCTTGTAAATACATGTTACTAACACATTTATCTTTACAGACTTTATATTAATGACTTTCAAATCATTAATCTACCATAAAATCTTTGAAAGGCATGTAAACACCTTTACTGTGCTCAGGAAAATACGTATTACGTTGAGCAAACTGTTGGTGCTCTGGAGAGCATCAGCATCAAATCAGAATGGCACACTGATTGCACTTTTGAAAAATATAACACAACCTTATAAAAAGCTTATGCTGACATGCTTTGGAATTAAGTTTTAAATTTCTGTTATTCTATTTTTAATATTTCTTTTCAAGGAGAGAAAGTACTAGAATGGTGCTCTAGGTAGGCAAGAGTGTTTACCCAAAGCTCTACTGTAGTGGTTCTCAATCTTTCTAATGCTGCAACGTATTTTCATTGTTAAAAAGGGGTTGCAACCCACAGGTTGAGAACCACTGCTCTATTGGAATAAGAGAACAAATCAAGAAGAATCTTAAATGAAGACACAAATACAGCTTGACGAATAGGAAGATGAAATAATTCTATACGTGAGTGCTGTTGCTAAAAAAGGATACTGTCAACTGAAAGAACAAGACGAAAACGAGAAATGGCAATTACATAGAAGAAAAGCAAATATAATGGAACGAGGTCCTTAGAACTCACAATAAAAAGATGAAATAGATGAGTGCTTTGGAACGTGTAAAGGAATAAAATAACACGGTAAAAGCAAAAGGCAAAGATAATTTTAAAGTAACATTTTAGATCAACTGCAAAGAATTGCAGGTGGGGATGTGATTATAATTCTTGTGTGAAATGGCCTGTATTTGAATCATAGATTTATAAATACATAAAATGTTAAAGCTATAACTGATAAGCTAATTCAACCCCATTTGTTTCACAAAGAGGAAAATGAGGTCCAGCATCATAAAATGGCTTGCTTGAGGCCATACAAGGGGGTAGGGCCAGAGCCAGGACCAACACAGTCTACTGACTCATAGTTCAATGCTCTCTCTACACATCTTACTACTTCTCAGGTAACAGGTGCTATAGTGGTTCAGAGAAGGAAACAGTGTGGGCTCAAGTGGTCAAAGAAAGCTTAACTGGGAGAAAACAGATGATTATTAGATTTGAAGAGTGAGAACATTTTAGATAAGTAGAGGGGACAGAGGGGATTCTAGGCAATGGTAACAGAAGCAAAGGAAGGAAACCCAGCACAGGATGCAAGCTACGGTGGAGGAAGAAGTGCTAGGCATGGTCATCAGATTGAAAAGCCCCTGCAATAGACCAGGTCTGCAGTCATAAATTACCAGCATGGGAAAAACACAAGGGATAGTAAAGATGTGGAAGGATAGAAACCAGATGAGGTATTGAGAAAAGTCTAGTACTGCGGATATAGTAGTGATCCCATAGAAATGAAAACATAAGGAGAAGGTAATTTTGGTAGGACAGATGGTAAGCTTGATTCTATTAAATTTAAGTGACAGCAGAAGCTGATATTGGAGGGAATAATTTGAGATGCAAGACTGAGTTTTCAGAAAGAAGTCAATATTAGAGAATAGTCACGGATAACTCCAAAGCTTTTGGCCCAAGCAACTGGAAAGATGGAATTACTACCAAATTAATATTTAGTGGCTCACACCTATAATTGTAGCATTCTGGGAGGCTAAGGCAGGAGGATCATTTGATCCCAGGAGTTCAAGACCAGACTGAGTAACATAGCAAGACTCCCATCTCTACAAGAAAAATTAGAAAATTAGGTGGGCATGGTGGTGCACACCTGCAGTCCTAGCTACTTGGGACATTGAGGCAGGAGGACTACTTGAACCCAGGAGGTCCAGGCTATATGGTATGATTGGGTCACTGTACTACATGACAAAACAAAACTACTGCCTCTAAACAAGTCAAAGATTAAATTAAATTTTAAAAAATCAACTTGATATGAGGAAGACTGCCATTAAGCAGTTTTGGGAGACAAAATTAGGAATTCAATTTAAGACATGTTTAGTTTGAAATGTCAGACATTCAAGAGAAGATGTCAAAGAGAAAATTATATACACATATGTTTAGAGGACAACACATTACCACAAAGAGGACATTTCAAGTCATGAATCTGGACAATTCACCAAAGGAGTAAGAGGAGAACCACAGAGAAAAGAACGAAAGAATGAGTCCAGGACCACAGCTATGTTCCTAAACTATCAGTTTTCTAACACTGGAGGGCATGAAGATACCTATGGCCATAAGAACTTGGCCTTAGAATGGGAGACAGGGAGGGTGTGTGGGTGTGTGTGTGTGTGTACACACATATATATTTTAAATGTTCAAATAGTCATAATTTTTGTATTCTGATTTTTAAAAATCCAAATGATTATTTAATAATTAAATCTTTTCTTTAAAAACAAACCTTCTAGACGATGCTATACGATCATGACAGATTAATCCTAATTTCCTATCTTTATATATCTATAGAAGTGAGTTGTGACCATACGGCCATCTTGTAATATCCAAAAAATCACTTTGAAGCAAAAAAAAGACTAAATAAAGTGCATCTCAGTTCTTGCTCTATATTCCTTTTAGTATGTTCATATTCTGTAAGAAGTATAATGTATATATGGCATATTGGGTACATATTTAATAAGAAACTGACTATTCAATTAACTCGGGTACTAAATTCCCAAGTTCTCTGATTATTTGGGAGCTTATTGTCTGAAATAAACTGTAAACGGTAAAAATTTTACCTATTAAGCCAACTTCTATAAGTTTTTTGTCTGCACACTCATTTCTCGTCATTCAACACGTGTGAGTTTGTCCTATAAAGTACATCGGCTTCCTTGGCACATGAACTACCTGTATGGCTAAAACAATACATTTTCAACATGTAATTCATGTTACAGAGAGCCAAGCCAATATATGAGGTCTCAGGTAAACAATACTCTAACTTCCCAAAATACTTACTTATGTTAATCAAAATGGTATTTACCTATTTACTTATGAAGAATAGTTGTAAGAGTTCTATGGTTCTCTAACAAAGAATGACTGGGAAAGTAGTTAATATGAAAAAGCTCTTTAGCAAGTAGTTGAGATAACATCAGCTTTCCCAGGTAGAATCAGAACTTGATGTATTAAATAGAAGAGAAAAAATAACATGTAGATGCTGTGTTTAAAGTGTTTTTTTTTTTCATGGAATTTTATAGCAGGATGAGCTCTTCATAGAAGCTTCAGAGTTTATACATGAGGAAACTAGAGATTGTAATTCTAGAAATAAGGCCACTCACATAGTAAAAGCATAAGGTTATGTAATATCACACCTAATATGTTCCTTGAAAAACAAAAACTTATTGGTCATTTGTCTGTCTTCTTGGGAGAAGGTTCTGTTCATGTCTTATGCTCAAGGGTTAATGGGGTTGTTCGTTCTTTTCATATTGATTTGCTTGAGTTCTTTGTAGATTCTAGTTATTAGCCATTTATCAGATCCATAATATGCAAGGACAGATGAATGGCCAATAAAACACATTAAAAAGATGCTTATAGTCCTGAATTATCAGAGAAATGTAAATCAAAACCACCTTGAGATATCACCTAACCTCTGTGAGAATAGCTCGTATCACAAAGTTCCAAAGCTGCAGGCGCTGGCATGGATACAGACAGAAGGGAATACTTATACACTGTTGGTGGGACTGCAAACTAATACAGCCTTTTTGGAAAGAAGTATGGAGAATCCTCCAAGAGCTAAAAGTAGACCTCCAATTTGATCCTGCAATTCCATTGCTAGGCATCTACCTAGAAGAAAAAATATCATCTTACCATCAGGACATTTGCACTGTTTATTGCAGTCAATTCACAATTGCCAAGATGTGGAAGCAATCCAAGTGCTCCCCAACTCCTAAATGGGTAAATAAACTATGGTATCTTTATACCATGAGATACTATTCAGCCATAAAGAAAGATGAAGACTTTACATCTTTATATTTACCTGGATGGATTTGGAGAACATCTTCCTAAGTAAAGAATCACACAAGAATGGAAAAGCAAGCATCCAATGTACTCAATACTAATATGAAACTAGATGAACAACTACACATGAGAGAAAAACACACATTCAAGAAGAGGGGAGGAAAGGAGAAGGAGGTTCAGTAAACTATCAGGTACAATGCAGAGGTACAGGGCACATCTCCTGGGTAAAGGACTCAACTACAACGTAGCCTAATCATATGTACCATTATGTTAATCAAAAAAAAAAAAAAAGAAGAAGAAGAAGGAAAGAAAGAAAGAAAAACAAAAACTTAAGGAAACAGCCTGGAGAAAAATAACAATATATGGACTCATTGTTTTAAAAAAATTACATTTTTCATTTTAAAGAGATTAAAGATTTGTCATCATTACAGAATGTAATATTTCTAAAAAGCAAAAAACGCAGAGCAGGTAGATACAGAGCAGTATAAACTTAAGAATTCAGAATTAACCCAACTTTTCTTCAATGTATTTGGAAAATATTCCAGTGACATCTACAGGGAATTACTTTATGTAATCGGCTTCCTGACTAATGAAAGCCTCTTTTAAGCCCAAGTTCAGCTGTCTATGACTAAGGGTTGAGGCATTTGAACAATTTTCTCCTCAGAGCAGTCTGGGAATCCTGTGGTTTACTGTTAACTTTCCTGCAAGCAGTTGGCTCTCAGACACTTGAATTCAAGGGGTACCCTAAAATCCCAGATGATACCTTTTTGTCAAAAGCCACATGTGCAGGAATAAAGTCTGGAGGTGGGGCCTGCTTAGGTTGGCCATAAGTTAGAATTGGTGCCTTGCCAGCCAACTCATCCAGGTCAGCCTGGGACAGCTGGTCCCCATTTATCCCAAATGTTGGACGTCGAGCAATGGCATAGCCATTCCGGTAGCCCAGTGTCTGGCTTCTATGGAAGGCTGTTTTCTGAGGAAGAAAATAAATTTGTCATTAGAACATTATACAGATTTTTGTTCAGGCAAGCAACTTTTAAAAATATGACTTAAACCTTTACTTATGAACATCACAAAACTTATATTAAAAAATTTACCTACATTAAAAGGTTCTGTATTAAAAAAAAAAAAAGGTTCCATATTTTAAGCTAAAACAGTTGGACAGGATCAAGAAGAGAAGTTCCTACCTGAGCTTAAAATAAAATTTAAAGCCTTGTTCTGCAATGCCCAGTTAAACTACAGGTTCACCTTACATGAGAGACTAAAATAGTAACTCATGGATACGCTTCATTTTTTCACTAGTCTTCCCACGTTTTTCTTCTCATCTGGTGGTTATTAAAACTATAAAACCTAGAAGATCTAGCTCTGTGAAATTTATATCTATGTGCAACTCATTTATTTTCATCTGCTCTTCTTGTTACAGTGACACTGATACATTCATACCGCTCTTTGGAAAGCAGCTGACCATATAAATTCTTGAACTTAATAATTCCATCCCTGATCATTTATTTTAAGGATATGAGCCAAATTTATGGGAAAGGACTATATGCCTGAAGCTGCACATTACAATGGTAAACGTTGGAAACCACCTAAAAGACAAACAGATGAAGATGTGAGTAAATAATGGAAAATTCACTCAATGGACCATTATGCGGCCATTATAATACTGGCTTTAAAAATGATGTAGCAACCTAGAAAAACGTTTTGTGATCTAATAAAGCCAAAGAGCAACATATAAAATTATATGTATGCTATAATTACAAGCATGAAAATATGCGCATGAAAAGAGACTGGATTTGGCAAATGTCCTTTGTACTTTATATTTCTGAATTATGTTTATTTTTATGCTTTTTTTGCTGGAAAAAAAGAAAAGATTACATTTTAAAAAGAGTAGAAAGGCAAATTAGAAGTTATGTAGTATATTTGATGGTTTTCCTTTTTCTGTTATTTGTCAGGTTACTTTCAAAATTTTATATAGAACATTCAATTATATATAATTACATATATAATGTAGTATTAATCATAAAGTGTTTTTATGAAAAATAAAACTTGTCTACATTCTAATTTCTTTGAATTTCAGCCTACCATCTTTCAAGATTTGTGCTAACATGAAAGGGATGATAGAATAAACTTCTTTTGCTAAAAGAGGTATGAATTACAGCCTTTTTTTTTTCCCCAGAGGCTCACTCATTCTGTTGCCCCAGGCTGGTGTGCCCCGACATCAGCTTAGCTTGGAGCTACTTCAGACTCCTGGGTTCAAGTGATCTGCCTGCCTCTGCCTCCCCAGTAGCTGGGATTTATACGTATCCACCACAACTCATGGCTAATTTTTCTATTTTTAGTAAAGATGGGATCTTGCCTTTGCTCAGGCTAGTCTACAACTCCTAAACTCAAGGGAGCCTCTGTTCGCAGCCTCCCAGAGTTCTAGGATTACAGGCATGAGCCACCATATAGACTTTTATTTTTAAGAGTTATATATTAAGGGTTACAAGTCAGTAGACAGGAACTGCTCCGGGTACATAACATAACACACATGTATAGAACAAAATGGGCCGAAGTGATGTCCTCACTAGATAACCTGTGTAACTTCAAGGCCCTTTTATTCTACTCTAAAGACAGGAGCAATATCAGTGACTTCACTTTGCTTTCCCCATTTTCAATAATGTCTGTACCATCCCTTGCCATGACTCATATGCACCTCAGGCCTCTCCACCGCTCTTATTTGTTTCTTCTCATTGCCTTTAGAGTTACATATATCTAGTCCTTCAGTGTTGAAGATACAATGACCATGTTTTTCACATTCCAAATAAGGCAAATTGGTTTATGCTTGGCCAGAATCCTTAAAATATGAAATATGTCCAATGCCCAGCTCATCTTACTTGTAGTACAGGAATATATATCTTTAGAGTCTTGTACTTTTATTCACATCTCAATAAATAAATTGATTTATTTCCCAAATCAATTTAACCCTGCCTGGTGGGTAACCTACAGTGTAGACTGACATCAAAGGCTTAAGCTTCCACTATGGGGCAGTAAATGGCTATAACATTTTCTAAATTACATAAAACTGAAAAGTCCACTGAAATTAAAACTCCATGATGTTGTATCTTAATGCAGGAATAATTATAAAGAGATTCAGAATCCAAATTCTCTCAAGGAAAATAAATTGACTAAATATATTATCATTAGGAACATGGAGGCTCATCTGTGTAATCAGTCTACTGAATCTCATTATTGATTTCCCAGAATATATATTTCAGTGATCCTGTTAATATTAAAACAAATATTCAATAATTTTAAGAACTAAACTATGTCAGGAGAAAAAAAGAACCTAAGCTGCTGTTGCTTCTTTAACGTTGTCTAGAAAATGTGCCTAAAAGCAAAGCTGAAACAGCAAAATAAAATCTAAACAAGAATCTTTTATTAAAATATTAGAATAAAAAGAATAAGGCTCGGGGAAGAGAAAACAGCATCTAAATTGTGGTTGAGGTAATTGAAATGGAATATCTTCTACAAACCAGGAAAAGATAGTTTGAGAGAAACATGGGCAAGCTTCACAGAGAAATCACAAAGGAGTTAAGAAACAAAACAAAACAAAAACTCCAGGAATGGGGAGAGGGTGTCACTAAACACAGAAAAGGGAGAAAGTGGAGAGAAAAGGGATGGGGTGGGCAGAAGTATAAAGAAAGGAAGAGACTTCGGGAAAGGACCTGGTGGGAAGAAGAGAGGGATATATACATACAAGACCAGAAGTGGAGGTGGGAGCGGGAGAGATGACTGAGTCCAGGATTCTGAAGAACGGGGAGGCAGGGCGAGAATAATGGGTCTTGGGAAAGTGCGTAGGAGGCGGTTGTGGGAATGAAGGTGAAGGTGAAGGCGAAGAGAGGCTAGAGTGATGGAGGATGGAGTTGGATGGCAGGGTACGATGTGGGAGAACCTGCTAGGGAAAGGGCCTAGAGTGCCTGGGAATGGGGCAGGGGAAACCGAGATCTAGAGCAAGAAGAAGGAGGGGGTTGGAGGAGCAGAGCAGGAGGTGAGAAAGCAGTGCCGTTCGTGGGGGGGGGGATGGTGAAAACGAAGGTTGAGCGGACGATCTAACCAGAGGAACCAGATGGGGGAAGGGATGAGGCTGGCTAGGAATGGACGCTAAAAATTCGGCAGAGAAGAAAGAATTGGGGCAGAGACGAGGAAGGGACTAAAGGGAGAGAGGACAGACTTGAGAGGAGAAACAAGGTTTTCTGATCCGCCAGCGCTCGGGGTGAGGTGAGGACAAGGAGTTGGGCAGATAAATCCTCACCGTGGAGTCCTTAAAAGACGTGCCCGGGAGAAAAGGCAGGCCATGCACAGGGTTGGACACCATCGCAGCCGGCACCGCAGCCGCCCGCACTGTCCGGTTGTGTCCTCTCCGGTTGCCCTGGCAACAAGCCGCTCGCCGGGCACCCCAGGCTCCATGGTAACGCCAAACATCCCAAGAGCCGGCTAATGGAGGGCGAGGCCTGAGGCGCAGACGTGACAGGTCTGCGCGTGCGCCGTCCGCGGGACTCCATACTCTCGCGGTAAGGTGGTCGCGGCCACCGGGCGCGGTTAGTGGGTGTTGTGGGATGACCCCGCCCCTTACGCTTAGCCCCGCCCCTTTCCACTCCCAGAGGAGGAGACGTGGGATTCTTCCTTGAGGCAGGGGAAGGACGGCGTAAGGAGGCGGTATTTCTCCGGGTGATGACTCGGGTCAGAGTTAGGCCTTAGATGGGTTGCATAGGATGGGATGTACCTTCTTCTTTCCCTCCACCCCAGTCATCGCCGTGTTCACTGCGTGCCGCGGGCGCAATAAGCTTGGGCACTCTTCTCCCAGTTCTGTCCTGGAAGTGTAAATGGTTGATCCGGATGAAAGTGTCGCAACCTCAGTTGCAGATTATTCATGATTACATTTATGTTGCTCTAGGATGGTCAGTGAGCTAATGTAACCGTCTGGTTTCTAATCCTCCTACTGCAACGCTCCCTCCTCCCTGTCCCCCTTCAGCTTCCTTTATTCTACCAACACCCTCTCGATTCTTGTAGGCTGGGCCTTGAGTATTTGCTGACTGAGAGCTGGAGGCTGTCTTGATATCTCCTTTATACGTGTACATACCTGCAGTTGCGATGAACAGATTAGAACCGCAAAGGGAAACAAGTCTCCTTCAAAGAGAAAGACTAAATCATAAGAAGCAAATACCGTAAGTGGGATGGAACACTGTCGACAGCATTCTTACCTTTGGTGCTTTTTACAAAACTCTTTTAAATTATTTTTTTTCTTCAAAGAAACGTAATCCTATTCCTGAAACATTTTCAGCACTGAAACCCATCAGCGCTGAGGAGCTTAGAAATAAAAACAAAAAGCAAACAAAAGCCACGGCCCTGGAGATTTGGATTCATTAGGGCTGCAGTGGGGGGCAGGAATCTGATTTTTCTAACAGGTGTTTCTGACAATCCAGCCTAGGAACCTGATAGAGTAGTAAGCCTGACACAGAAGGCATGGCTCAGTGTCATGGGTGGTTTGCTGCCAGTACAGACAGCAGCTTTACTTTTAGTGCTGCTTGTCAGAGCAAATCCCCTTGTTGGGTTTCACTAATTGGCCTGAATGCACTAAGTGGCACCTGGAGCAGTTACTGATGCCTGTCGACCACACCCTCCCCAAAGAGTTTCTTTCCTAACTCTTCCTCTCCCCTTACTACTTCTGTTTCCTTGTCTTTTTTTTTTAACTTTTAAAAATGTTTTCTTTTCATTGTCTGTTGGTACCTTAACTTAATACAGCAGTTTGATGCACACACACACACACACACAAACTTGAGTGAATTTATTAGTATTGATCAAGTTGCTGAAAACTTTAAAAGTACCTGACCCTTGCATACCTTAGCCACCAACCTAGGATGGAAGCCAGTCACTGGGAGAATATGTCCTGCTGGCAACTTCAGCCTTCCAAAGAGAAAGAAGGTGCCTCTCCCACTTCTCTCTACCGCTATAATCTGACGCTGATTATCCAGAATCAGTGATAACTATAATTCTCACTGACTCTTTAGGTTAACCTTAAACTCTTGCAAGTTCTATGATCCCTCCCTCCTTCCCTACTCTCTTAGTAATAAAGTAAATCCCATGGCATTAGGACATACTGCAAAGCCTACATTGACTAACTGCGTATTTACACGTATATTTGTATTTCCTGGGTTGCGTAGGAAAGGAGCTTGTGAGGCTGGAAAAGGTGAGTCATTCCTAAGCTCAATGTCCATTGTGGCATCCGTTTCTATTCGAGGAGTGCCCTTTACTCAGATGCTTTTCTTTTCCAGAAAAGCACCCTAGTTAAATGGTTAGGAGTGTGTTTTAACTACTTTGGAGCCCCCAGAAATGCATGGTGAAGAAAACTTCAGTTGGTCTATGACCTCCTAAATATACTATCATCTCCAAGGAAGGGAAGTCAAGTTGTGTTACATCAGTGCTAAAAAGCATAGGGACAGGTATGTGAAGAAGGAGAAAACAAACAAACAAACAAAAAGATAGGACGTTAGAAAACTGCCTGAACCCTGAAAAAGTTTGGTATGATTAAGAGTTTATATCTCATTTTGACCACTCAATATGTATTGCCCTTTAGTTTGTATCCATGATTTCCTACTTTGTGGAGTACACAGGAGAGGGCAGGAACCTGATTATCTTTGGCAGCAAAAAAGTGCTCTGATTGAAAGGCTATTGCATAAAGCCTGGATTCAAAAGACCACAGAAATGTTGCATGATATTTGGCAGGTGTTTCAGAGCTTAGGGAATGGAAAAAATGGAAAGGTCAGACTTCTAGCAGCCAAGCCGGAAACAAGGCCTCATGGGTTGGATGACGTCTCCCAGGGAGACTGATGGGACAGGTCATGAACTTCACTTAAAATAAATGTCTCCCTTTCAGCATTTTGCCCACAGCTAGCTTCACCCAGACTTTGTTCTAAATACTATGATATTCTTGTTCTTCAGTACCTAAATTCAGGGGAGGACAAATACCAAACAGCTGTCTGTGTTCCGGAGTGTTTCTGCAGGGATTTTGGTGTTCTACTTCCCTCTGCTGGAGAAAATTGTTACAGCAAGACTTCTGGGCACAAGGACAGGAACCCCGAACAAGGAATTAGGTTTTACAAATACTGGAGGGTGGTAAGTGTGTGAAATCAAGGATAAGTTTGTCAGAGGTGTGTCCCTCAGTCAGAGTGCTCTCCAACGTTCATTTCCATCACCTCATGGTCTCTGGAATCTCTTATACAAAGAGCAGGCCTCGTCAACAACACTGATCTCTACGAAGTGTGGCAAAAAGAGAAACCCAGTGATTTCCAAGTTGTTCTGGAGTAGATTTAGGAGCTGCAGATCTTTATTTGACACGAAATCACACAACTTTGGTTTAAACTATTTTAATCTTTACTGCCTGTGGTTTGGAAAAACCTGTTTTTCTGATGCTTTTTCCTCCTGTTTGATAGCTTAGCTGATTTGGTTAGAATTCCCTTTTCCCTTTAGAGCCCATCAAACATAGTTCACAAGATATAGGCTTCATATGAATAGGTTCTTTGTTTTTTCATTGCCATTTTCCTAGCTCCCAGAAGTGTCTAGAATCTTATAGATACTCATTAAACAACTGTCAAATAATTGACCAGTAAATAATGACCAAATGAATGAACAACGACTCAGAGATCAGCTGGCAAAGTATTTTTCAAATTGCCAGCCCCTCCTCATCAGTAATTCTTAAAATTAACTTAATGAATTGTGAACACAACTAGACTTAAAAAAGAAAGAAATTGTCAGGATGCATCCCATATTGTATGGGTACAAATAATACAGGGAAAATATTTTCAAGATACATATACAGTTATGTTATGAGTAGGGCTATCATGGTCAAAGTAAAAATGCTTGGAAAGTGATTGACACAATTTAGCTAGTTCATTTTACTAATAAGAAATTCACAGACCAAAAGACATTAAGGAAGTTTCAGTTAATGATTGGTTCCCAGCTGAAATACATGTTAGACTTTACCTTAATTCTCTCACAGCTAGAAAAGATATCCCTCACGTAGCACAGGAGAGTTCATTGATGTTGGCATTCTGTTTGTAAGATATCTCTGACATAATGAAACATCAGTGTGAACAAGTGTGCAAAGGCAGTGTGGGAATGGTGGGGTAGTGATATTGATTACAGTTTTAGATTCCAAATGTTGACAGGATGTGATTCCATTAATTCAGGTAAATGGCAACTTTGAAGCAAAGGGGAAATGACTTTGACACCTCCTTTCCCCTTGCACATCCCAAACTGCTTTTCCTTTTCACCCTTCACATATGCAGTATAAACAAAGTGAAACACCAGGTTGGGTTCTGAGAGCCACGTTCTTGCCCAAAGTGTGTTTTGAATATTTATGTGAGGTTCGATAATTTGCCCAAGTATCCTACTTTTTATCTCTAAAATGAGAAGCCCAGATCAGAGTTAATGATCATTCATTGCTTTGGGGTCATGGGATCATTTTGAAAATCCTATAAATGCTGTGTACTCTGGCTCCCCAAAATGCACCTATTCACTTATAATTTCACAGAGTTAATGAGTAAGCTCCAGGGGTCTAGGAAGGATCTATTGAGCTCTCCCTTCTCTGAAATTTAAGGGATAAGAAGTTCGTCATATAGTACACCAGAGGTAGACTGATATGGTGGTTAAGAGTGTGGACCATAGGAAACTCTGAGACAAAAGACTCTGATCTGCCAACAACTGAATTGCAACTGAATTGCAAAAGCCCTACTCATAATATAACAGAAAAAGTAAAGTGGAAAGGAAACTTATAGATTAAAAGCAACCAAGTGCAACGTGTAGGCCCTATTGGGAATCTGATTCAAACAAAAATACTTTAAAATAATTATGATACTTTTGAGAATCTGAATGTTAAGAATTGTTCTTTAATTTCTTAGCCATGATAACAGTATTGTGGTTTTGCTTAAAGAGTCTTTATCTTGGGTGATGCCTGTGGCTCAAAGGAGTAGGCCACCAGCCCCATATACTGGAGGTGGCGGGTTCAAACCCAACCCTGGTCAAAAACTGCAAAAAAAAAAAAAGAAGCTTCATCTTTTAAAGATACATAAATAAGTATGTATTATGGAGAAAATGATATAATGTCTGAAACTTGCTTCGAAATAATATGGAAAGAAGCAAGTGAGTGGGGAGATGGACGAAACTAGATTGAACGTGAGTTGATAACTATTAATGTGATTACTTGGGAATGCATTACATAATTTTGCCCACTTTTATGTATGTTTGAGGTTTTCCATAATAAAAATAGTTAAATTTTTTTTTTAAAGTGTGGAGTCTAGAGCTAGGCTACAGAGGTAC